ACAGAAACAATATAAAAGCAGAGACAGAAACCACCAATCAAAAACAAAAATAAAATTGTGATTGACACTGTTCACTGGCCTTTGCTGTGCAAAGGGTCCCACCTATGTAAACTATGGGGCCGGTTCCCAGGGTCAAAATGTCATAAGAAGCTGCCTGTGGGTTTCCTCTCTGTGCCGTTGGAAAACTGTGGGTGAAAGGTTGGATCCTTTTGGGGGTGTGCTCCCTCCCGCCTGAAGGCATCTGGGCTGTGCAGTGAAGGTACAATCGGGGTGAAGAGGAGAGATATGTGAAAGATGAAAAATTGGTCACACCTCTCCCTTCAGACATGCCACTCTGTGGCTTCTAGTGCTGGGTCACTGCCGCCACTTGGCTATGTATTATTTATTTTTTGTGTACTATATTTACCAGGGTTTAAGAATACTAATTTTAAATTAATTGTGTTGATTAAAGGAGCACACTCGGGGAGAGAAGTGGACATGCTGAAGGAGCTCCAGCTCTCCCTGTCGGTCTTTCTACTGCTTGCTTGTGGCTTCCTCTACCAGCTGACCCTGAAGTCCAGCTGCCTCTTCTCCTGCATGCCAACCTACAAATCCCAGCAGGGCCCGGAAGCCCTCCTGAACCAGCATCACAGCATAGTGTTCCTGGAGACCTCTGAGAGAATGGAGCCACCTCCCCTTGTTTCCTGTGCTGTGGAATCAGCTGCCAGGATTTATCCTGAGAAGCCTGTGGTGTTTTTTATGAAGGCCCTCAACAATTCCACACAAATTCCCCCAAATGCCACTTACCCAGCCTTTTCCCTTCTCTCAACAATAGATAATGTTTACCTCTTCCCTTTGGATATGAAAAAGCTATTTGAGGACACACCACTGTTTTCATGGTACACTCAAGTAAGTGGTTATGGAATCTTAAAATGTCAGTGTTGGGAGGAACCACAGAAGATGAGTCCACCTTACTTACTGTATAGATGGGTAGATGGATGTTCAAGGACTCAGTGTCAGAGACAGGACTAGAACCCAAATCCTTTGACCCTTGCCCAGTCCTTTTCTGCCATGCTGAGTCCTGAAGCAGGTAACTAGGAGAGATTTAAATTAGTCTTATCTTTAGTGTCTGTTGTCTTTTGCTTCCAGCCTTGTTTCTTTTAGGATAAAAAAAGAATTTATATAAAAATAGTTGCTAGTATAATTTATTTTTTCACAAGAGAAGAGTGACTAGTGTAGATTTTGCATAATATTAGTTCCCTACATCACATGAGTTTTTAATAAGTTATCTTCACTGTGTTTCAGTGTTGGTTATTGTTGTTGTTGTTAAGTGCCGTCAAGTTGGTTCTGACT